TTGTAGAGCAAAGTAACTAAGAGAAAGGGCAAGGTAGCCTTTCTAAAATGTGGTACCTGAGTGGAGCCTTAAGGATAAACATCCCAGAGAAAATACTGGGCAAGGTCTTCCTGGCAGATGGATCTGCAGGTACAAGGATAAAGAGCAAGGCAGAGAAAATGTCTGTAGTAAAAACTGGTTGGACCCCGGAAAGTCTCGTGTGCCGTCTTAAATGTTTGCTTAAAGTAGGAAAGGAAGAGAAGTCCAGAATAAGTTCAAGCCTCTAGCTTGGCTGACTGGAGAGAAGAAGTTCAATCAACCAGTACAAAAAGCAGATTAAACAGAAAGCTAAGAACAGTGTGGTATAAGGAGCCTGTAAGAAGACTCAGTGAAGTATCATTGGAGATGTGTAGATGTATAATCCTCCAGGCCAGAACTGAAGAGAGATTTAGGAGAATCCTTATACAGATGATCAGAAGCCCTGCTGGGAATAAGAGAGAAGGGAAGAAGTGCAGAGCAGAACTCAAGAAAACATTTAAGTGGCAGGGAAGAAATGGAGCCCTCAAGGAGACTGAGAAGAAAGCTGAGATGCACGAGGAAGACCAGGACAACAAGAGCTTTGAAAATCAAGGGAAAGGTAAGTACCAAGAAGGCAGGGTATGGGGACACCTGACCAGAGGCAGCTGGGCAGTCACATAGGCTATGGAGACCTTGTCCACTGGATCGAGCAATCTGGAGGTTACTTCTGAATTTGGCAAGAGAAACTTTCGTAGAATAGTAGGTGGAAGCTCAGTATCAGTGGATTAAAAATGGAGGTAACACAGAGGAACAGACACAGGTCTCTAGGAAACATGGAGAAAGACAGTTCAATACCAGGTGGGGAACTTGGGTGAAAGGACAGTTTGAAAGAGAAATACGGGGCACACTGAAAATGCTTTGAAAATATTCACATATTGTAAAATTGCTCTTACACCAGCAGACCCCCACAGCCGCCTGGCTGAAATGAATTAATGGGACATTAGCAACTGGGAAAATGTGATGAAGAAAACACAAGTCATCAACCACTTGAAGAAAATGAGCTGCAGAATAAAGGTTGTCATTTGTGGTATGCTTCTCCTGTCCCTAACTTTTGTTTAATCTCTTTCCCATAGACCTTTGGTTTTTTCTCTGTGTTCTCCTTTACTTTGAACTCTTCAGTATCAGATGGACTTCACACTCATTTTCTTCTTGTGATTAAAAGGTGGCTTTCTTCAAGTGGCAATGATAGGCTCCAGCATTAACGCACTGAAATCTGACAGAAATCCTCAAGAAATGAAGGTGCTCCTGTCTGAAATGTGTAGGAAGGGAGAAAATTGCAAGGCTGGGACAATCTAGGGAGGGGAGAGAGGGGGAAAGGAGGGAGAAGAGGAGAGAGGAGAAAAGTGAGAGGAGAGCAGTCATAATCAAGGAGAGAAAGGAGTTTGCCCTAGATAGGACACTACAGCAGTGGAGGCGGGACCAAGGGACATTGACCTTGGGCTCACTTTCTCGCCCTAGGTAATTTACCTGTGCTGCTGAGTTCCAATCAGCTACTCGCGCATCAGCGATGCCACCTTTAGGCCCCACCCCAGACAAAAGCTATATGTATGTCCAGCAGAGAAAGCCAGACCCTCCCATGGTCATGGAGTTTCTCTCCTTGTCCTTAGAATAAAGGCCATTTTTACTTTATATTCTCTTTCTTTTACTGTGCCAAAAATCCTATCAGAGAAGTTAGCATAGGAAAAGGGAGAGAGAAAGGAGGGCGAAGGAAGATGTAGGAGCAAAGACAGGAGGAGAAGGACAGATACAGGAGGGAAAAGGAGGAAAGGAAAGACATGTTGTGGGAGAGAAAGAGGGATGAGTGAGGTCAGATTAAACTGGGGAAGTGTCTGAATTAAAACACTTTTAAAAACTGCAGCTTTAGACGGGCATGGTGACACAGCACTCCCAGCACTCGGAAGGCTGAGGCAGGAGGATCGCTGCAAGTTCAAGGCCAGCCTGGCTACAAAATGAGATCAAGGCCTGAACCATATAGTGAAACCCTGCCTCAAAAAACAAAACAAAACTGCTGTTTTGTTCTCAGATATTTTTTCATCTTCTCAGCAAGCTTTCATGGGCTATCTCTTCTGGGCCCACACAAGGCCAGAGCCTGGCTGTGTACAGTTGTACAGCAAGGTGAGGATATTTTGGGCATAACAGAGGGCATCTCACCAGACCATGGGGGCCCTGCCAGAGGTGAGTTGTCTTTCTGACAACCAAGGAGTCACAGATACAGAGAGTGAGTGGCTAGGAGGGGACAACCCTGACCAATGAGCCACCTGTAAGAAGCAGGGAAGTTACAGAGTCAGTCAACAAGTGCCTGCAGGGCAGACAAAAGAATGGCCAACTGCCTGGAATAGAAAAGTAAATAAGGACCAGAACAAAAAGGACCACATACACATAACAGTTAAATTCACTAATTTGTAAGTAAGATCAGATGACTGACATAATATTTTAAAGGGTCCATATGCCATGTTAAGAATTTGAGACTTATAGGGCTATCATAACCATCTTTACATGTTAGAAAGACCATTCTAGAGGAAAAGAAAGATTTCAAACAAATATTGAACTTTGGATAATGATATACATGCTTGAATTATTTAGAAACATGTATACTGATGCCTAAAATTGACTTTGAAATGCACATAAGATTGATTAATTGCTCAGCAGAAAGGTGGATAGTTAGCTTACAATGAAGAAAGCAAAATTGTAAGAGTAAAATCAAAGTGGTAGGAGTGTGAATATTCATTGTTAAATTCTCTCAACTTTCTTAATATTTGGAAATTTTCACAATAAAATACTGGAAAATTAAATCATTCTGGCTGCATGTTTTAGAAAGGGGCAAGGTAAGGCAGTCATTTAGAAAGCTGTTGCATTGACTGTCACAAGAGGTCATCATGATGCTGACAGTAAGCCAGGGGAGAGACGTTGGTAATATTTCTATATTTCCAGAAATGTTCAAAAGCCGGATATGGTGCCATATACCTGTAGTCCCAGCTACTTGAGAGAATGAAGCAGAAGTATTACTTGAGTACCGAAGTTTGAGACCCGCCAAGGCAACATAGTGAACCTCCAACCAAGTCAGAATGTTAAGCAATAGATTTGGCATTAGGTGGACACCAAGGGAAGGAAATATAAAGATCCTCTTTCACTGCCCTGTTTTCAAAGCAGTGGATGGTTACTGATTTTTGAGTGAGAAGAAGAACTCACAAGACGAATCACTGATGAACCTCCAGTTGGCCTCTGATTTTAGATTCTCCACAAGAGGTTCCTGGCACTGGGTCTCTGGTTTCTTAGTCTGTCATGAATGCAGCGGGCTTTAGCCCCTCAGGCAAGTCCATGACAAGGAGAAGAGGTGAGTCATCAACGCCCAGTGTGGCCCTAAACCAGAGATGAAGCAGGGCCCCTCTACCTACTTCCACTACCCTCCTTCAGAGTGTCTTGAACACTGCTGCGCCTATTCCCCTGGCAATCGAAGTGTTCTGCTTGGTTGTTTTTGTTTTAGAATGAAATTGTTTCAGATCAGCTGCTTCAAATGACCTGTCTACAGCTAGCTCTGATTTATCAGCTTGCAATCAGGAAACAGATTTCTCTGGAAGACTCATTCACAATAAGGCAAAATGAGCTCCACTCAAGGGCCTCAAACTGCCTCTCTAGGGCACAGATGCTGCTGCCCAGTCTGAGGGTACCGAAAGGCAGCTTCCACCATCCTCCGTCCTCCCTCCTCCCTCTCCCTGCAGCTGCGAGGCCTGTAATTCTGGTTCATTTCCTACAGCTTTGTCCTAGAGACCTTTAGCAAACACCTCCTGTTCTCCCTTTGATATGAACGATGGTTTCTCAGCAACTGCTTTTGTGATTCATTTCTGGATTCTTGCTTTTGCAAGAAATGTCCGCAACCATTTTAAGCTTAATATTCAACTGCAAATCTCTTACCTCTTCAAAGTTTAGAGTGTTCTGAATATTTGTGAGAGTTTAGATAGAATATGATGACCTGCTTCACCCTCTTTAGTGGGTGCTTCAGTGAGGAGACCCATGCTGGAGAAAGGCTGCTGTCATTCGGTGTCTGATGCCAAGGAGGAGACTCCCAGCTCTGCTTAAGGTTATGGATGCTCAGTGTGTAACTATCAGTGTTTCCCCCACACAAGCCAACACACACACATACACACATGCACTCACAATCTGTCTGCGGCATTTAAGTCTAAAGAGTCAGTATATCAAGTTCTAGTGGTCTCCACTTTGTCTGATATGGACTCATATATGTACAGCTAGGTTCAGACCTTAGCTCTGCACTCTAAACTCAAAGCCTCAGTTTTCCTACATCTAATATACGGATGATATTCACTCTGGGAATTGCTGCAAATAGGAAGACAGACTGTGCACAGATGGCACCAGCCCAGTGTCCGGTCTTTGCTGCTGCTCAGTAAAGACAGGAGCTGTGATTTCTTAGGTGTGGAACATGTCATTTTCCAACAAGATGATTAATATGTACTTTAACTGTTTGGTTGAACATCAAAGTATATTTTCTTCAGAATGCTTTTTATGTTTTGCTTTCTTTTCCTCTGAGTCAATAAAGCTTGAGTAACTTCAGTAACTTCTCAGATGAAATGTGAGAAATGGGTAAACACATGGGTTCTATTTCGGTGAAACAATTTTGGAATAGTATCTCGCAAGCCAACAGTCGCTGTGAGCTGATGGAGGGTGCTTTGTGGGTTGTGAGGGATGGTTTGGTTTTTTGGTTTGTTTTTTTGTGACATAGTGAAATTCTTAAGTTCCCAAGACTCCAGCTCATCTGTGCACCCTGTGCAGAATGAACCCTGGATCCTGAGTGTGAGAGGACACTCAGGGCAAGTAGATCTGCAGAACAGAGCAACGGGAGAGAACAGAGGGGAAGCTCCAGAGAATAAGATCAAGAAATAAACCTTGAAACTTAACTCTGTCAGCAGCTATACCAAGTCCTTTTCGTGAACTTTTTCTTTCCCTCAGCTGCCTCATTTTAACGGCTCCCTTGACAGATGGAGAAGCTGATACTTAGAAAAATCTAACTTCCTCAAAGTCATCCAGCTGGTGAGGCAGCACTGAGAGCTGCACTTAGCAGCTGTCTGTAGGACCCTGGAATTCTCACTCTACCACGTCTTCCTTCTCCAAGGAAGCAGACCCTCTTAGACCCCACAGCAGCCTTCAGATAAGGAGGCTACTCAGCTGGAGCCACCTACAGTTCTGCTTCTGCACCTGGACCTTATAGAAACTGGCGGCTGATGGTAATAAATGGCAACTGGTGGTATTATTCCCATTGACCTGGCCTTGCTCATGTCTCTAGGAGGCAGGAGGGAGCCCTGGAGGACTCCTGCCCGAAAAGTGAGTATGAAAAAGTACTAGGATAGCATCTTTCCTCTTTTCGCCTAACATACTTGGTACTTAAAAAAAAAAAGGCTCAGCAGGGGTACCCAGGCCTAGAACTGTTGGAGAGAGAGTAGCCTCAGGTTAGACTGAAGGATGAACTCCAGGGGCAGAGGCTGGGACCCCATCCCCAGGAAGTCTGGAACTCTGAACTCATCCTAGTCTGCAATTGCTCAGTTCTCCTGTGATAGATGCAAGAGGTTAGAAGAGCCAGGGGCTCCAGGATGGTGAAGATTGAAGAGTTTATTTTCTAGGGTTTGGATGCTTCTAGGTAGATGTTCTGTTGGTTTGGTGGGGTGGGTTTAGAAAAGTTTTCTCTCCCCATTCCTCTTATTGCCAGTACAATCCAGAACATAATGGGAAATACAGTGCTCAACAAACAGCAAGACAAAGGCCTGCCTCACGGCTGTGCTGGAACAGGGCCTTGGGTTTAGACGTGAAGCTCTGTACATCCTAAGTCCTAGGCATGCTCCCAGCTCTGAGAGGGCATCCAGGACGCCTTGTGTTCAGGATAGACTTGAAATGACTTGAGGTTGGTGGAAGCAGAATTACTGCTCTAAAGGAAAGACTCTAAGCCAAACGGAGCTGGGTTAGGGACAAGCTGTTGGTGGAACTGCAGGCTTTGTTTGGAGCCCACTTTGGGGCTAGACTTAGAGCTGACATAAAATGGGGTAACACTGGCCACACCATCCCATCCCCTTATGTGTTTTGGCCCCATGGAGGATCTGATTACTGGGCACTTACTCAGTTACTGAACCAATATTTGGGGGTTTGCTGTGGGCCAACACCAAGGTTCTGAATTTGCAGCCCATATACTAGAAAGGCTGGTTCTATGAGTAGAAAGGAGTTAGGAAAAATTTCTGAGAAATGCTGCAAATATTCTTTTCTGACCTGCTTTTTAGCGCTGGTATCAGTCTAGGCTTCGGTTTTTTTCATCTGTACAGTGGTTGGGTGTGGGATGTCAGACCTCAAAGAATTATCCCACCTGCCCTGATATTCTATGATACTGCCCCAGACAGAAGGTCCTGGGCACATGCAGAGTGTGGCAGCCACTTAAAGAAGCCCATTCTTTCTCTCTGGGGTCTCCTATGGTAGAGGAAGTGGACTGGGGGTCCTCTCCATCACATGAGCAGCATGTGTGTCTTCTTGCAGCAGGCCATGGCACAGTGGTGGTGGCTCCTGCTAGGGCTGTGGACAGTTATGCCCACCCAGGCTGGGGACAAGCTGCTGAATGTCTGCATGAATGCCAGATACCACAAGAGAGAACCTGGTCCAGAAGATAAGCTCTTTCTGCAGGTACAGAGACCCAGGAGCTGAAATGGGGCTTTCTTTCTTTCTTTTTTTTTTTTTTGCAAATCAGGAAGCAACACCAATGCCAAAGTTGTCTCTGGACCACAGATTGTTCAGTTCCTTAGGTGAAAAATATCCCAAAACTCCACCATTGAGCTACTCTGGCCATTTGAGAGGGCCAGAAGGTGATCCCAAAGACTCCTGTTAACTCAACACAGAGCCAAAGAAACCTTCCTACTGATAGACCTGGGCAACAGAATGACCTCCTCCCAAGCTGCTGAAGGCAACTCCCAAGGATGTGGGAGGAAAAGCTGCCATTGAGCATACAGGTTCTTTCACACAGTGAAACCCCAGCTTCCCCCAGGTCTCACTGTGGCTCTGCTGCCCTTGCTTTCCCCCTAAAGGCCTCTGTTGCCTCTCAGGACTGAGACCCTAGAAGTTGTGTTCCTACAGCACTGCAGCAGCCTGTGGCAGGGGGCTCACTGTGCAGGTGCCTGCTGTGTTCTAGGTAAATACTGACAGATCCTCGGGTTCCTCCTCTGCAGGAAGGTGCTGACCCCAATGAGCTCAGACTTTCTCCTGAAGGACACACTCACTTCTGCCCAAAACACTCAGCAAGCCTGCCTCTTACTCTTCATGCCTATTGCTTTTTCCTCACCTTCAGTGTGCCCCCTGGAAGGACAATGCCTGCTGCACCGCCACCACAAGCTGGGAAGCTCACCGCTCAGAGTCATACCTTCACAACTTCAGCTTGATTCACTGTGGATTGTTGACCCCAAGCTGTCAGAGGCACTTCATTCAGGCCACCTGCTTCTACGAATGTTCCCCTAACTTGGGACCTTGGATCCGGCTGGTGAGAAGGCAGTAGGCTGAGCCAAGCACTGTAGAGTAGGGGCATCAACTTGATCATATGCTGGTGTCTCCAGGAGGAACTGGAGATGCTGCCCCATATAGACAAGTGCAAAACCAGAGGCCTTTCTTGGAACAAGGGATGCAGGGGAAGAAGTATCTGGCCCTGGAGCATGGCATGGGGGAGACTGGTCAGATGAAAACAATAGGATGGGGGATGATTGCCACAGGAGGCATGGGGGAACTAGACAGAGCTGAGTTTGACTTCCACCTTTCCCTACTAGCTGTACAGCCTGAGACAAACTATTTTGCCACTTGGCTTCATTGTTCTCATCTGTAAAGTAATACTATACGTAGAGATTGCATCAGGGATGACGTACACATGGCACCTGGCACAAGTACCACTGTAGCTATTAGTAGTCTTCAAGTGTCTGCTACTGATGTTCCTGTCTCTTACTTCACCTGCACTCAGGTGGACCCACAGGATCTGGAAGAGCGAGTTCTGGGCGTACCGCTGTGCCAGGAGGACTGTGAGGAGTGGTGGGCTGACTGCAGCAGTTCTTACACTTGCAAATCCAACTGGCATGGAGGCTGGGACTGGAGTCAAGGTAAGTGATACAGCAGAGGCCAGGAGAAAGGCAGGCCCATTGGAGCCTCCAGTCTGGGTGCAGATCAACACTCCCTAGGCTGCCCCAAGAGATAAAAGATGGGGACATGGGAGGTGACCACTGAGGAGTGAGCTCTCCACTGTCACCCCCACAGGGAAGAGCCGTTGTCCAGCAGGGGCCCTTTGCCGCCCTTTCCCAGATTATTTCCCCACCCCGGCTGACCTGTGTGAGAAGATCTGGAGCAACTCCTTCAAGGCGAGCTCTGCGCACAGGAACAGCGGGCGCTGTCTCCAGAAGTGGTTTGCACCCGATAAGGAAAACCCCAATGTAGCCGTGGCCCAACATTTTGCCAGCCTTGCCCCAGCCTGGGAGCACTCCTACACCCTTATGGCCTTCTGTCTGTTCCTGTGGGCCCTTTTCTGAGGACACCTTCTTCTCCCAATCATTTTTCTTGCTCCCACCAACTATAGGCCAGGCCATGACCACCACCTTTCTTGGGAAGGGGAAGTTCAGGCCATAGTAGCTAGTGCCTGAGACCCCCACCTCTACCTGAGAAGCAGTTGGGAACCAGCAGTGCTACAGTGACCCATACCTTGCCTTTACCAAAAGGATTCAGAATGGGACTCCACGAGTTCCATCTTCTTGTGGCCATTTGCCTATCCTTCCATGGCAGAGCATATGGTAGCAGCCTGGCCTCCCATCCAACCATAGAGCTTTCAATAAAATGTTGGTGGACCTGTCCTCTCTGTGAATCACTCTGCCTCAGCTTGTCTGCTACACTAAGTATCAGAGTTAGCATGCTCCTTAAGAGTTACTAATTTCTTAATATCTGCCACATATCTTTATAACACCACTGTCAATACCCACCCCTTAGAAGTGATTCATCATAACAAAGACCCAAAGCCAGGTTGAGGGATGGGGTCACCCAGCCCACTGGTTCAATTTTGGATACCAAGATTGGGGCAGCTACTTCAACTGCCCTCTTCCTTTACCCACTTTCTTTTACTCCCAGAATCACAACATACTGGTCTGGATTTTGGAAACCTGAGTTCTAATCTAGCCTTTCCACTTTCTATGTAACTATTGGCAACTCCTTTGACCTTTAGACAGGATTTCTCACTCAGCTAAGGGGAATAAGGTTGTTGAATCAGATGATTAAAATTATAAAAAAGAAAAAGCTTGTTTCCTAGGGTACAGTGTGTGCTTCTGTGGAAGTGCCATGTTCCCCAGAAGGAGATGGCAGCATCAAATGGAACTGGAGAATGGGTACAACTTTGAGTCTCTGTGAGTGGTCTGCTCTCTGGGAACTTTGTGGATCCAGAAACTCAACTCCTCCCAGCACTACATGACTAGTGGTGGTGACTTCCTTACAACCTTTTCTGTGACAAAGACAGTTCTAGCACCTGAGTTGGCTGGCCTTTCAAATAAGTGCTCGTTCTTGCCAGACACTAGCAAACTCTGCTCATCAAAGAAACTCGGCCTCCATTCTTTCTTACCTGTCTTGAATGTGCTCATTTACAGAGCAAGCCTTGTCACAGATAGAGCATTGCAATCACAAAGCCATACATGCTGCTTAAAACCTAGGATAGGAGGCAGAGGGCAGTAGGTGTAGGGACAAATCTCATCACAGGAAGTTTGCAAGAAAGGTTGTAAGGCAAGAGCTGGGTCATGAGAGAAACAAAGGGCTTGAGCCCAGTGGAGGAAGGCATAGGAAGGGGATGCTGATCAAAACTCAAGTGATGCCTCAAGGTACCAACCATGAGGAACAGGAATTCCAAATTTAATCCAATTTAGTCAGAAGATGAGGAGATCAAATGTGCAAAGACAGCCTAGGCAAATTTTGAGACCCTATTTAGGGGGGAAAAAACTTCAGTATTGGCTGGAAAACTGCAGGTAGGTAAAATCTCTTCAGGATCAAGGATCAAAAAAGTGTCTGAGGTGATTAGTTTAATAAAGTTGAGAGTTTGATACCTTTTTAAAGAATTTTAGGGGATAAATATTAAAAAGCATGCATAAACAGATTAAAAACTGGACTGAGCAAAGCCAAGATAGTTCTGGGAGCCCTAATAGCTTTTAGTGGTTATTGATCATTTGCCACACACCCAGGGCCTTCCTCTGCTGAGTGTGTAACATGTGTGCAGCAATTCATTGGATCCTCGTGGAAGTCTTGACAGGTATTCTTATTAGCCACATTTTTCAAATTAGAACATAAACATAAGTAGGTTTGAAACTAGAAAAGTGTGATCCCATAACTCCAGCTCATAGGCTTGCACCAAAGAGCCTGGTAGGTAGTTAAGTGGAGCTGAACCAAGTGTAGAGGTCTTAGGAAAAGAGGGAGGGCTGGCTCGCCAGGGAGAAGTCACAGGCAAGAGGGAGACTGAACTTCACTCCTTTCCTGTGGTTGGCAGGGGTGGGGTGAACTGTCAGAATTGCAGTTACATTATCCTTTCAGTCAAAGCAATCTATACACATTGCCAAAAGCCAAAGGACTTCCAAGCCAAACCAAAAGAGCCCCAGTAAACCTGCCCCTCCAACTCCAAGGTCCCCACCAGATGCACCCACTTCTAGCCATTTCTCGATTTAGCTAGACACAAGTTACAAGGAGTGGCTTATCTTTTTTGCTGCATATTCAGACTATCTTTTTGCTCTCTGTTCTATCAGAGTTTCTCATCTTACTCTTCCAATCTTTTTAATTTTGGCAATCCACATTTAATTCCAGGAGACTCTTTTTTTTTTTTTATTCCCTTGTTGTTTTTCACAACCTACTGTTTTGGCTTTATGGAAGTAATATCTTCTTATGCCTCACCAAAGATCTAATTAGAATTATTTTTCAAAAGCTGTTTCTAGTCTCATAATGATGATTTCTCCAAGGTCACTCTGTTCTATTCTGTTCTGATTGTCTTTCATCTGCTGCTGGGTGTTGCCCTTCTGGTGACTTTGGCTGTCTATCCATATTTAAGAGTGAGGGGCTACATCAACATTTCTAGATGTCTTTTCCTTCCATGATTACTCAGGTACATCTTCATTCTCTCAGTATAAAGCTGCTAAGGTTGGAGGGTTCTGAGCATTGGAGTGGGGGGGGGGGTAACTAGATGTTGTTACCAGGGGTGGAAATAAAGGAAGACTCCCAAACAAGAGCAGGCAGAGGCTGTTGATTCAGAGCTTGCTGTAAAGAAGCATTCAGGCACCATCACTTGTATTTTGGCAGAGACTCAAAGGCAAGCAGAGCAGTGGGGAAACTTTGGAGTAGGAGAAAGGGAAATCCTCAGATCTTCTCTGGGTAGGACTGGTGTCAGGGAAAGCAACAGGTAGCTGAAAGCTGTGCGTCCCAGGTGCCTGGCAAGGGGACCATTTGGCTTTCTGCAGTTTGTCCTAAATTGAAGCAGCAATAAAAACTAGGGAGTTGGAAGGTATTAATCAAGTCCATGTCATTTGGGACTGATTGTTATCGGTGTTATTGGATGGTTTCCTGGGCTACGTGACAGACACAATGGTCTAGACAATAGTCTAGACACTACTATAAATAGTGTAGTGGCTTCTAGACTAGTTATTGTAGATAATCACATTTGGAGATCTATTTCTAATATCGTCCTGACCATTGTCCATTTGTTTATTTGTTTTCTCAAGACTGAGTTAACAGGGGCTATCTTGGGCCGGGGGCCTGACACTCATGTGAAACTTCAACGCTATCCAGAATTTCATCTAATTTTTAAAGAAGTCCTCTTCCAAGGTCCACTGATTAATAATGATGGGCTTTCTGAACTCTGATTTAGGCAAAGAACATGGTGAGGTGAGTGTGTTTATTTTTCTCTCTGCCAACTCTGTACTCAGAGCATTTCAGAGGTTTGCCTGGCAGATCAGCTCTGTCTTCCACCACAGCTGGCTCCCACACTTCCTCTAGCCTCCCCTTGACCCTTTGATTGCTTTCATATGCTTTATATTTTCTAAATATTCATTAAACCTTCTTTTCTGATGATTTTCTTCTCATGCTTTTGGTAGAGGAATAGTTGGAAATAAACAATCGTTTTAGTGGGAGTCCAGGCATTCATTTCACCCTCTGTAACCAGTAGCTGCAGATTTTTTTAAGATTCAATTGTTATATAAACAATAACTTTAAAGAGGGCCAAATGAAAGAAAAGATAACCAAAGGAAATATAGGATGATTTTCAGGAGAGAAGTGAAATATGAAGACAAATGTTAACTAAATTTTGAGTAACCTTCTAGGAGTCATGAAGTCAGGCTAGATACAGGTAGTAGTCCAGAAAAGGTCAGATTCAAGGACTATTAGGAAGATAGAATTTGGAAAAGTTTGGATCATAATTTTACATGAAGTTCCATAAACATAGGTATTAAGTAAAATGTGTGGAATAGAGAACTGTTAGCAAAAAATCAAAGGCTTTGGGTAATTTGATGATGCCTACAGTTCAAAGAGGTCCTGGTGCTGGCCTGGATCCCACTCGGTCTTGAGTAGACAGGAAGAAGCTGGAGGATGCTGCTTCTGCTGTATGCAACCCAGTCCCTTTTGCATGTTAGGAATAGCCAGCCCCATTCAGGTCCTTCCTCTGAGAATACTGGGAAGTCCTGGGTGGCAGATGAAAAACAAAAATAAAATTTAATATACTGTCTTTAATTTAAGATACCTTTCTGAGTAACGCTTTGCAGGAAAGTCCCTCCCCAAGTGCAGAAGTGGGTGTAATCCGGCATTTGTTGCACAAAGACCTTGTTCCCAGACTACGTTTATGTGGCTGCCTGAAAAAGAAGTGCCATGCCCCCTTCCAATCTCCCCCACCTCCACCTCCACAGAAGTGACTAATTCCTTAGGGGTTTCTTAAAGTTTTAACTATTGAAGGACCCAGATTTGCAGATTATTCTGGGTCTCAGGATAGTGTCTGTTAGAGCAAATCGTTTTCCTAGCCCCAGAAGGAAAGATGAATTGAATGCACTCAAAAGGCACACTGTTTATGCCAACACCACCCGTTATTTCCCTTTTCCTTTATTCCCTTTGTTCTGCTCACATCCATACTCTGAAACCAAGCCAAAATACAAGTGATGGTGCCTGAATCCCTCCCTGCAGCATGCTCTGAATAAGCAGCCCTGCTTGCTCTTGTTTGGGAGCGTTCCTTTATTTCCACCCCTGGTAGCAGCATCTAGTTAATCCCTCCCCTCATCCCCGGAGCCCTCCATCAGAAACCACTTTTGGTGGTGCTTTGCCACAAATGAATGGAATAGAAAAACAGAAGGAGGAGGGCTTCCTGGGGAGGTGGGACTGAGGGGAGCTTTGAGATGCTGGTGAGATAGCAGCATGGGGATCTTGATGACAGTTGAGCTGCAGTGCAGGAGAAAGGGCTAGGCCAGAGATTGGGCCCACTCTTCCTAGAAGTGTTATTTGGTGCTGAGGAACTTAGTAATCCTCTAAGGGAAATGTGAAGAGAAAAATGAAAAGCATATGGGGAGTCCCCTTACTTACTTGCAGCTGGTAAAGATATATGGAAAGAAACCAAGAGTAAAAAGGCAGGTAGAAAGATGTCTTTCAAGAAACACAAAAACAAATTCTGGTTCCCTGGTGAGCAGCTGTGGATCGGGCAAGCTGAGGCCGCTCCAGGGAAATAGACCACCCAGCGTCTTCCGAGATCCAAGATCTGCACCATGGTGGAACTTAGGGTGTTGAGAAACAAAGCAACCCACTCACCTCCCTAGTAAGCCGCAGTGAGCCTACTGGTACATGGGCTGAGAATCCCATCCCCTGTCCCCATTAGCAAATGGGAGCCAGAGGTCTGAGCATCTCTTGGGAAGTTGACATGCAATACAGCAAATAAGAAAGATTTCTTTCCACCATCTCTTTGAAGGCAAATATTGTTATCACTGTTTTGCTTTGTTCTGATTAACTGTATTGCTCTATTCAATATTCTGTTTTTGATAAGTTCTATAATAATCTGTATTTCATTTTATTTTGCTATACCTGATTGAAAGAAAAACTATTGTGAAGATAATGAGACATACTATGGTACCTACTATTATTATCCTGGTAACCTGCTGTGATATTCTATACCAATTTCACTGCACTATCTCAATTGGCTTTGTTCTGTCTTATTCTGTTGTATTTTACTACCTTCAAAATAATAAACAAAATTTTAAAAATTCTGTGTTGCCATCCACATATCAATCACAGAGATAATTTGGTCCATGAACTTAATTCTTTTCATGATTCTGGTGGCAAACCCAATTGGACAAAAACCAAATCAAGCTCTCCCATAAGGTCAACATTGCACCAACATTTAATTTGATTCAGTTCTTGTCTAGCTCCCTTGCAACCATGAATTGTGGAAAGAATTGAGTTCATGAACCAAAGCACCACTGTAATTTAAATTAATAAATAGTATTTTTTATTAATGCATGTTGTTGGTATGTAAGATTACATTTATGAGGGGCTGGGGATTTAGCTCAGCAGCATAAGCGCCTGCCTTGCAAGCAGGCAGTCGTGAGTTCGATCCCCGATACCGATAAAAAAGAAAAAGACCAAAAAAAAATTACATTTATGATAGGGAGTTGGTACATGTACAAAACTCATCTTAATTCTTTCTCATTCTCTTCCTGTTCTCTCCCTTTCTGCTCCTTGCAAGTTAAATAGTTACTGAGTTCTTATACTATAAGTAAAATATGTGGATACTGGATATTGGGCTGGTACTGGAGATTGAAACACTGATATATAAACAATAGCCAGGCTTTGTATAAATCCACAGCTAGGCCAGGCAGGTACTCCATTATCTATAGCAAATAGTCCAGGAAGCCAAAGAATAATCCCTATAATAATTGATACAAAATGGTCATCAATTGATCAATAACTGCAGGCTGACATATTTTAAACTCCTGCACCCAAACTAACACCAATTTAGAAAAGCCAAATCTGGAATGTCCAGCCTCAGCAAGCCCACTTCTAGTTTCCCCTGCCAACAGCCTCCATTAAGAACAAACTAGAAGCCTTCCCTATCCTGTCTTCCACTCTGAAGCTCTACCAAAATGCAAGAAATAGTCCATAATTCCCTCATTAGAGCATGCCGTTAATGGAGTCTTTGCTCCTTCTCATTTGAATTATCTTCTGTTTTTCTCTACAAGGTATAATAATGAATGAGAAAAGCATGATTTCTGTCCTATGGACAATGACACTGTAATGTGTAATCCAGCAAAAATCTAAGTAAACAAAAATTATAAAGACTATAAGATGATTGTTAAAAAACACAGGAAACTCAGTGGGTTAAAGAGGCAGCTAGAGTAAGTGAGATAGATATATTAAAGAAGTAAATAAATCGAGGGATTATTTTGAAGTGGAGGAGTGTGTTTGCAGGACAAATGGAAGATGTTAGTGGAGATGAAGTTAAAGGAAGACAGAAAAATAAGTTCAGGGGCACGTGATCCAGGGCTGAGCACAAAGATCAGTGGATATGGGATACATTTTCCATTGAAACAGGAGGAGAAGAAACAAAATGCTGAAAAACCAATTTCAGAATTAAGTTGTTTGAAACATAAACTCTTGATTTAGTTAACATCAGGGCTGGGAGTTTAGAGTGCAAAACTGTGTCCAGTAGAGCATTTTGGCTGTAATTAGAGTCCTGGGCATCTCACAGCCACAGCCATCTCCAAGCTCATGTCCCAGACAGCCTGTTTATCCCTAGCCATATGGCAAGTATAAACTTTCCAGAGGACTAAAATCCCCTCAAAGATGAGACTTAAAAGCTGAGACACAGTTATTTTCAGGGTCAGGATATATTATAAATAGAGAGACTAAAAGTTGGCACTAGAAGTGAAAAAGGAAACAAAACTTAAATCATTTCAGCCTTTTCTGAACTCTGCATCTGTCTACAGAAAGAGCTCTGGATCCTACAACAGCCACTGACTGTGACGCTGATGGGCTCAGGGCTCCAGGCCGCTTCACTGCTTACCAGGCTGTGATTATGCCACTCAAAGGCAGCTCTGGGAGGAGAAGCAATTTCCCCTGGGGTGGAATCTGGGCTTTAGGAAACGAAGCCAGAACAAAGAAGCAAGCTGAAGGGACCCATTTCTCACTAATAGCTAGGTGTAGTTTATCCTCTGTGGATATAAGTCATGTGGTTACTCACACCCACTCCCTACCACTCTCCAGGAGCATCAAAATAGCCACCGCAAAACATTAAACACTGTAGGTCCTTATGGTTTCATTACTCAGTAATTACCCAGTTCTTAAGCCATTTCCTAGCTCAGGAAGGCTCAGGGGTTAGAAGATAGACTGCTTCCCAGCATATTTTTAATTTACCAGTTTTAATCGTATTTTTCATCTGATATATTGCATGCAACATGAATGATTATCTAGAGAACAGAGCTCTGAAAGAACACAGAGAAGTTGGATCTGATGAAGTAAAAAAATGGCAGTAGGTGCCAGGCAAAGGGACTCATGGCTACACGAAAGAAGAGGAAGGCTGGGAAGGAAAGACTCTTTCCACCTATCCTTAACACCAGCAGCAAGGAATATTTCTAAACTTCACTGAAACTGCACTAATATTTTCAGAGCACTGCTGAAGGAAGTGGTGTAGCCAATAACAATTTTCCATTCTGCATCTTGTCATGGATTCTAGATCCTGAGTCTACTACAGTTTACTGAGGGTCTCCTGTGTCCTCAGTTCTATACTTGGAATTTCCATACATGACATTTTTTTTCCATCTGTATAATCACTGTCTTAGTTACTTTTTACTCATCTCTGAGACAAAATACCTGAAGCCCAAAGTTGGGAAAGGAAAGGTTTGTTTCTTACAGTTTTTGGAGGTTTCAGTCCACACACAGTTGGCTCCAAGGCAGGCGGGAATGGCTGGGCCTCAGTTCATGGCAGCTGCAAACAGCAAGCAGGAACCAGCAAGAGAGCAAGACACATCTTCTTCCTGCCATTACATCACATCGTGCTCCACCCCTATGTGGGTGGAGCACTGACACCATCAATCCAAGCACTAGACAATGAACCAATCACAAATGCACAAACTCATGAGGCCTGGGGGCCACAGACATAAACCATGACAATCACCCTGTGTTTTAAGAAACACATCAATTCCAGTGCATATTTTTCTGAGCCCCATGTTTCTTTCATAGGCCAGGTGAGGATAGAAAATGAGATAAGAGGGGAAGAACAAACCAGAATGAGATTCGGGTCAGATTTACTCACTAGTATAATCCATGTGGTAAGCGCCTTCTTCTTTACTGTTTCAACTGATGCCTCTAATCACATACTAGAAGAAAAACAGGTAAGACATGTGTGTGAGGCAGCAGAGTGTGTGTGTTGAGGGTGGGGCGCACATCTTACTATTTCCCCAACTAGACCACTGTTCCAAGGACATGTCCTCAGCATCTGCAGCCTACAATGACTTAGTTTCCTCTGCCTAGTGGATAAGCTCTGGTAGACACTTTAGTCTTGTTTTCTCACCTTCCTATACTGGATTCTGACAGAATTTATGCCCATCCTTACTGCCGAAGGCCACTTGAGGTCAGAACAGAGTGATGGAACAAAATTGAATGCTTCACCCTTGATGCTGCTTTTGTTTTCTGAATAATAGAATAAAGCCTTATTGCCTGAATCTTCAAGATACGCAAATCCATGCAGGTTCCCACAGGAAAAACAAGAAGCCTTCCTGTGAGCCAATCAGAGTGCAGGTTGGGAGACAAGGACCCCTCCACCCCGCCCCAAACAACTGGCTAATTCAGAGGAACACAGGATGAATTGTTAGCCACTAAGGTATGAAAACAACTTGATACTTATATTGTCTGATTGACTTTGCAGGTCTAAAGCCAGTAGGGTGAGCATCTATTAAGAAGATAATATGCAAGAAGCAAATATAAGTGATTTCCTTCTGTCTTGTTTTTGAAATCCAATATTGTTCTCACTGTTTTGTTTTGTCCTGCTTTACTGCTTTGTTTTATTCAATGTTCTGTCTTGATTGCTTTTATTCTGCTCTATTTCATTTGATTTTATTATGTCTGATGATAGGGGCAGGATTCTGAAAATAACAAGAGGTATTATAGTAACCACTGTTGATTACCTATTATTCTATTTTGAAGTTCTGTATCACTTCCACTGTTGTGTTTTTATTGGCTTTATTCTGTTTTGTTCTGTTTAGTTTTATTCTCTTTAAAATCAAATTTTAAAAAAGATATGCCAATCCTTAACTTCCTTTTCCATTCTTCTCTTCATCTTCTCATTTTAAGGTCTCAAATATCTCAATTTGATCTTCGCCTCAGAAGACTATCTTTTATACACTTATTGGAATTAAAGTGCTATTGCTTTAGGCATATTATGACTGTGGATGGCTTCTTCTCCCTCAGAAAAACTGGTTTTATCATCTCCGACTCTGCCAGGAATTATGGAGTAATGAGGAGGACCTTTGGGACAGTCAACTACTAGGAGGGAAGGAGGAAGGGGGTGAGTTTTCTACTCCGAGGTACCCATGATGCCTGTTAATGGTTTAGTTCTAAAATATCTCTAAGGTGTCTCATGTGTTTGAAAGGTGATTGCATTGAGAGCACACTACACCTATCAGTGGACTAGCCCCAACCCCTGGAAACGTTAGTTAACAGTTAAACACCCTAATCAACTAGTTTTAATCTACTCCTGCCCTGAAAAAAAGAGAATCCCTGGCAGGATTGAAGCTGCTCCTTTGAATTTGCAATTCAATATGATTAATCATTTCCGAGCTATGGTAAAAGAGGAAATCTAACCTCTACCTTTAGATTTACACTCTAATGTTTACTCAGCTATTTTACCTATTTATGTTAATTAACTACTAACTTTTCTCTACAAATCATAAAGACATTGGCATACTGTGTCTTTTATTTGGTGCATAAGCTGGAATAATAGGAACTGCGCTTAGTTTACTGACCCAAATAGAACTAGAACAACCAGGAGCACTACTACTAGGTGACAATCAAATTTATAATGTAGTTGTAACTGCCCATGCATTTGTTATACTTTTCTTTACAGTTATGCCCATTATAATTGGTGGCTTTGGAAACTGATTAGTCCCACTAATAACTGTTGCATCAGATCTAGCTTTTCCTGGATAAACACCATGAGCTTCGGACTCCTTCTTCTATCATTTCTTCTTCTACTTTCATCATCAATAGT